GATGGCACCAAAATGTCATTTATTAAATACCTTTTATCCCATTGCTCGCAGTACCCCAACAGCTCTCCTGCACCAGCTCAAGAGAGCAGTGCATGAAGAGCAGTGCAGCCCCAGTGTGTGTGGGATGGCCCTGGCTACCCTGTCCCTCCTCCTGCAGAACCCCAGGCGGCCCTGGGGATGCCAGTCCTGCCTGGGGGATCCAGGGGATGGAGCAGAGGGAGCAGCATTGCCCAAACAACCTCCTGATTCCAACCAAGGCTTCAGAAAAGCTAATTTGTGCCTGTTATCTGCCTTGAATGCAGGGTGCCCACCACACCTGTGCCCCACCTGACTCTCCCCACAGCAGGGACCGCACATGGCAGAGGCAGCAGCTTCACCCAGAGCCACTTTGGGTCAGTCTCAGTTCCATGAACAAAAGCCGCTTCTCCAGCTCGTTTCCTGACACAGCTAATGGCCTGTGCCCCTCTGGGGACCCAGCACTTGCTGGGAGGCAGCAAGGGAAGGAATTAAAAACTTATTTCCTCTGCCAGAGATAAGATCTTTAAACAAGCTTCTCAGCCAAGAACTTTAATTTTTTTTTTTTTTTTTTTACCAGTTTTCCAAGGGAATCTTGTTCTCCAGAATTGCATCCGCCTCCAACCCCACTTAGAGCTGCCAAAGCCTGCCCTTCCCCCGGGACCAGCCTGCAAGCGGCAGAGATGGATGGGATGACACGGGCATGATTTTACCCTTCTGTCCTGCTGCTGGAGCTGGGGGCTGTCAGGATTCCCAGAGGAGCCCCTGCTCTGGCCCTGCACTGTGGCTCCAGCCTCCCCAGATCACAGCCATGGGTGCCACAGCCCCTGCCCCAGCATCGGGGCTGGATGAGGCCCCATGGTGAGCACCCCTGCGAGCAGCAAAGCCTGGCCCATCGCTCCAAGCTCCAACTCTGCTCCATCCACACGGATCCAGCCCCACAACCACTGCTGTTTAACCCAGGAAGGGCTGGTGTCTGTGGTCTTGTGAAAGGTGCTTGTGCCCCCTCTGAAAAGCCTTCTGGGAATCAGTGAGGGCACTAAACTGGCCATGGAGGGTCCACCTTCCCTTCTCCACAAACCCAAGCAGGTCGTTGTCTCACCGTGTGCCTCAATCCCTCCTTGTGACACAGACTTGTCCCAGTACTGGCCCTGTGTGTGGGGAACATGGACAAATGTTCCCCAAGTCACTGTAGCCTTCAATGGCAAGAAATAAAAGCCCCCATGCTCGTGCCCTGGGGGTTTGCAGCCCCCACTCCTTGCTTGGAGGCTGTTGTGGGATCAAACGTGAGATGGAAGCCCAGAGAGATGGGAGGGAGCACGAGCCAGCGGGGTGATAAATCATGGATGGAGGCTCCAGCTCTGCCTGCCCTGCTCTGAGAGCATGCTGGGCACCACCTTCCCTGTGGGAAGAATGCTCAAGCCTCGAGCTGTGTCCCTGTCCCACTCCCTGGGGAGGGCACACATCCAGCTCCCCAGGCATTAGCCCGGCTGTGCTGCCCCCCAGGCACAGGTGATGACCCCAGGGGCAAGGTTTCAATCTCAGCAAGTTTTGCACTTCCTGTCTTTGCTCTCTGTCCCACAGCCAAGCAAACATGACCTGCTTGGGAAGTTTCCCTGGAAAAAAGGGGGATGCACGCTGGCTGCTGGTATCAGCCTGCCAGCAAGGGCCGTCCCGTGGGAGCTGGGAAGCGACAACCGGCCTTGAACTTACACTCAAGGATGTGTGTCTTGCAAAGTGCAGCACAGCACAAGGGGATCTGAACGGGCTTTTGATGAGCTTCCAGCAAGATAAAGGAGCTTCCCTGACCCTGCTCCGTCTTCCTGAGCACGATCATCGGTAAACCAGAGCTGCTGCAGCTTTTGGCTATGAGAGGCTCCAAACTCACATCAAAACGTGTCCAGTGTTTAAATTAATGTCACCACTGGAGAAAGGAGGGTCTGTCCGCCCTTGGGATCCCTTTTGGTGCCGAGATCTGTCCAGGCTGTCCATCCCTCAGCAGGGGAGGAAAAGAGAGCTAACAGACAGTGGCTCTCTGGAGGAGCAGATTGCGGGTTTGGGCTTAGGCCAGGGAAGATTTTTGGCCAGCCTCCAAATCCCCAAATTTATTGACCTGCTGTATGCAAACATCCTACCTCAAACTCTGGCAGGTCCAGGCTTTGGGGCTCACTCCCTGGGTGCCATTAGTGGGTGTAATGAGCTGGAGATAATTGCTGCCTCAGGGACACAATTAAGTCCTTCTTGCCCTGGTCCAGCTGGGGTTTTTGTATCCCAGGAGAGCAATTTCTCCCCTTCTCCTCCTCCCCCCACCCTCAGGTTCCTTAGAAAACTTCCATCCCTCTTCCTTCTCAAAGTGAGCCTCTGAATCACAGTCTGACGAACACCACGAGTTCACTGATGTGTGGCGATGATTTAGATTCGGAATATATCTGGAATGTATAATTTATTTCAGGTATCTGAGGCACCAGCGAAACTGGGAGCAAGCAGTGAGTAAATCAGTCATACCCTTGTGATGATGGGGATTGCAGCCTTTATATTGCTCTGAGAATCCTGCTCCCACGGAGCCAGGTGAGCATGATGAGGGATGGGTACTGCTTGGGGCTGCAGGGACACAGGCAGGGATCCTGGAGGAGGTGGTGATGTTGGAAGACTTTAATGACAGTGCTGCTCTGAGGACACAGCCTCTCAGAAAGGTCAGTGTTGAACAGCCCTCTGCCCTGGGACAGGGATCACTTTGAACCGGGTGCTGCCCAAACAGCTGCTCCAAACCTGGCATCCACCTCCACCCGCCAGGAAGCAGCAGAAGAGGAACCAGGCACAGAGCTCACCCCCACCCCTGCCCCTGTTTTGCCTTTGCAGCAAATCACTGTTTCAGAAATGCAGATGTGAAATATGAAGACAGAAATTGCCAGCGACTTTTAATTTGGGTCCTGCCAATTTTTCTGTTCCAGCTATTGATTTTCCATAAAGATTAATCCCTGCTCCCAACCCGCTCTGACAGGCACTATCTGGGTGTTTTGCTTATCCCAGAGCAAGGAAATATATGTTTTATTAAGTGTCAGAGCTTGATAATGAGAAGAGGGAGGAAAATCAATCGTCTGCTTATATCTTGATCTCAGACAGGACTAACAAGTTCTTTATTTTGAAGCTGTGGACAGGACAGCCAGAGTGACAAACGGAGTGACAGCGGCTGTCAGCTCTGCCACAGAGACAGCTCAGCTGATGATAGGGGAGGCAAAGGGGTACGTGGTGTTCAATGCTTCAAACACGTTTTTATGTGTATTAATTCAAAGAGATTCATATAATGCTATAAAATCCTATAATTGAATTGATCCCTGATGCAAAATGACGGAAAACACTAAAATTTCAGCTGCAGACTCTAGGCGGGTTTATGACCCTGTTTTTAAAATCTAGAAAACAGCTTGACCAGCTGCTCAGGGTAGGGGCAGGCAAAGGGATTCCATGTTTCCATGCTAAATTTGGGATGAAGGTTAGCATATATGGCAATGAGAAGTACAAAGAAGCTCAGTGCAAGTCTCTGCACCGTTGCAACCATAAGCCCTGTTTCAAGCGTGCACCATGCTGGGCTCACAGAAAGTGCTCAGGTGACACCCAAACCCTGCCAAAATGAGGAAGTGAAGCCCAGGATTTCACTTTTCCTGTGATTCCTCCTTGGGAATCTGGCACAGGCCTTAGCTGGAACAGGAGGCAAGGTTAGCTGGACCTCCACAGGTCTCTTCTCGTGCCGTCAGACCACCAAGGTCGAGGGAGAAGGACTCCTCCAGTTCCCAGCACACACAGTCTGAACAACAGGATCAAGATCCATGACATGAGCATGAACATTAATTTCCTGCAGAAATTTGGCATTATCACCGAATACTGATCTCCACTGGCCCTCCCCCCAAGCAAGGCCATCACACCTGCTTTCACTCATGTTTGTTATCTCTCTTGTCTGTTAGCGAATCACACCTGACAATTGTATAGTTAATCTCTTGGCAGCTGTGAAATGAAATGGTAAGCTCTGGCTGCCTTGAGAAGATGCATTGATTTCTTAAAATGACAGATCGCCTCCTCCCTTGATGTTGAAGCTGGAGCTCAGGGCTGGCGTTATGGATCCTGCCATCATTCAATTAAAAAAAGCTCAGGAGGGATGCACCAGCTAAGCACACCAGACAGCATTAAGGCTAAGCCCTGACCCAAAGATTTAATAGCAGGGAGTACAAGGGCACCTTCAGCCCAGGACGCCTGTCCAGTTTGCTGATGAACTCACCAGCTGTGGTATGGAGCTTGCCATTGTGAACCTGACAAGCCACTCTCTTCTCCACGGTAACACAGCTGGCTGGGCAGCTGGGTCCTCCAGGAAAGCAGGGAAGGAAAATTCCTTCCTCCCCAGAATGAAGTTTGCTGCACTTAATGGAGCAGTTTAGATGCTATTTCAAAGCAGCTCTTTAATAAGGATTATGTGTTTAAGTTAACAAAACTCCTGAGAGTGTGAAACAGCCTCAGTTTCACTGTGGAGAGCAAAGTGCTGCCCTTAGATGGACTCTGCAAGATTCACCCTCAAAAAGCAAAAAGCTCCCACTCAAAGCACACCGTAAAGCTCAGAATGTGCTACTCATATGCCAGAACCATCCCTGCTTTCTGAAATTTGGATTAGATATCAGGGAGAAATTCTTCTCTGTGAGGGTGGGAGGCACTGGCACAGGGTGCCCAGAGAAGCTGTGACCGGTCCATCCTTCGAAGTGTCCAAGGCCAGGTTGGACGGGGCTTGGAGCAACCCGGGCTAGTGGAAGATGTCCCTGCCCATGGCAAGGGGTTGGAATGAGATGACCTTCAAGGCCCCTTCCAACCCAAACCATTCTATGGTTCTATGGTTCCACGGTTCCATCACCCTGCGTTTCCAGCTCCCCTGGCTCCACGATGCCATTGTGATGCAGCAGCGGGCACCGAGTGCCATCTCGCCGTGCACAGCCCGTGTCATCGCTTTCGGAGCCACAGCAGACACCTCTCGCTGAACGGGCAGAGCAGACATGCTCTCCTCACGACGCCCGGTGTCCCCGGTGTCCCCGAGCCTGCATCCTGAGAAGGGGAAGGTACGAGGGACCGGGGCGGGCGGCTGCGAAGGAGCTTACTGGGATTTACCGCCATCGCCGCCTGCGGAGGGGGCGTGGAACGAACGGGGATGGGCTTTAAGGCTCTTCCAAACCCCAAACCATCCTGAGATGCTGTGAATTGCGGAGGGGGAAAGGTGTGAACGACTTTCGGGGCTGGTCCTGGGCCGCTCCATCCGCAGCTCCGGGGGGGTCTCCATGGCAACGGCGGCCTGCGGGGCTGCGGGGCCGGGCAGGGCCGGGCCGCGGGTCCATCGGGCCGGGCCGCACCGGGACCGGGGCACTCGCACACACCTCCGGGAGCCTGATGAGGTGGGTCGGGGCTCAGGGGGAAACCCCGCTGCGTGCCACATCGACCCCGTCCTGGGTGAACACAGAGCCCCCTCCTTGGGTGGCTGCGCCTCCCTCCCCACCCCAGGCTGCCAAGTGTAGCAATACCGCGGGGAATACAGCCAGCCCTTCCTGGCAGGGGAAATCAAAAAAACCCAAAACATATATATATATATGTAAAAACAGCAAGGGAAAACAAGCACAATGACAGCTCGGTCTGTGGGCAAACAAACTGCTCCGGGGAGCCAAATCCCTCCAAGAGTGGGGAATGTCACCTGGCACATGTGCTGGCACTGCTGCTCCCTGCGGGATGCCGAGAGCTGGCACTGCCTTGGAAACAAAAAAAAGTGAAAAGGGAAATACAGCTTGGTTTGTGTTTTCTTGGCTCTCTTGGAGAGAAAAAGTTGCAAATGAGTGACTTAGTGTATAAACTGGTGGTGCAGCTCGGGGCCAGATAGCTGCGAGGTTTACAAACGCTTGGAATTCCTATGAGGAAATGTTATTAGAGCCATTATGGATTTAGGGAAAATGAGGCTAAGGAAAATGTGTTTGTCAAGCAGGTATCACAATCTAGCTTCTACAGGGCGTGGAAGAATTAAAATCTCACATGTTGGATCTTACTTTGAAAATTCTGTATCAATTTCATTTTCAAATCACGTGTGTTCAGCTTGTGAATACCACCTCGATGTCCAGCTGGGTTCTCATTACAGTATCACTGGCAACAGGAACACAGGCATTTATTTAGCTAATTGCTGTTTGTGGTACATAAACTGTGTGAGTCACAGGTACTTCAGCTAAATCACAACAGAGAAACACCTTCCACCTCGGCTCAGAGGGCTCCGCCAACCAGGGCACATCTTTGCCAATAAATGAAGTATAAAATCATCTCAGACTGGTTTGGGTTGGAAGGGATCTTAAAGATCATCTCATTCCAAACCCCTGCTATGGGCAGGGACACCTTCCACTAGACCAGGTTGCTCCAAACTCATTCCAACCTGGCCTTGAACACTTCAAAGGATGGGGCAGTCACAGCTTCTCTGGGCAACCTGTGCCAGGGCCTCCCCACCCTCACAGGGAAGAATTTCTCCCTAATATCTAGCCTAACCCTGGTCAGTGTTAAGCCATTCCCCCTTGTCCTGTCACTCCAGGCCCTTGTAAACAGCTAAGATTAAGCCTGTCTAAACACCTTAACAACAAAATATTACCTGTTTGCAGGTTGCTTTACATGTGTTTCATTCTCTTACTGTTCATAGACTTCGAGCGTTCTACAGGAAAGCATCATGGTCTGGGATGATGCAAACTAAAGCCAAAGGAAGGGAAAGCAGTACATCACTGAAAACATGGTCAGGTTGTGACTGCCAATCCACTGTTGAAGGTGGAAGTGCAAGGAAAACGCTGTCATTGCCCTTGGAAGCTGTCGTGAGGTGACACCCGGCGTTGCTCTGCCTGCTGCACACCACCTCGCGTGGGGGCAGAGGGTTAATTTGAATCACCAAGGTGATCATGTAGCTGTAGGAACTGGCTGAGAAGATGGGTCTCAAACCTCAACAGCCTGGCAGATTACAAAGAGAGAAAAATAGACATCTCCAGAGAGGCAGAAGAATGGAAAGAAATTGCTTACAGGAGTACAAAGGCAGCTAATTAGAATGAAACAGAAGATAATAAGATAGGGAGAAATTTTGGCAGAGTGTCTAAGAGAATAGTTCCTGTCAGTGAATATATTAAGCAGAGGTAGAACCTCTCAAGGGGAGGGATAGAAGGACGCCATGGTTGGAACATGTAAAAGTAGACAATGCAAAATATGAGAAGCCACACAACTATAAAGGAAAATTCCTCTGGAACTACATCTGGTCTAGCAGTTCTTTCCCATCTATATAAGCTAAGCTTTAATTAAGAGAGAAGAGTCGCAGCCACGATTATACTCCCTCACAGCTGCTTTTCTTTTGGTTCTTAATGTTATTATTGCTGCTTTCCTACACAGCACCCGAGCTTTGGAAGCATGGCTAAGGTTTTGGATGAGACTGAAACCAGTTCGGAGAGTACCGCGCCCAGAGAAGAACGGCAAGACAATGCCACCGTGGAGCAGTACGTGAGAAATAAAAACCTTGTTCTGGATTTCCTGCACAACGACCTGAACCCTCGCCTCCTCCGGTACCACTGGAACAAATTTAACCTTCTGAAGAAGTGTTACTTTTACCTGAAGATTGAGCCCAGACACCTGTGCGTGAGAGACCAGAACAATATGATGATCTGCGCCGACATCCTGCAAATCGCAAACCCCTGCCAGCTCCAGAAGATTAAGAAGGTGGGAAAAAACCAGACTGAAATCCAGCTGGCACTTTTAACCGAGCTGTTGGAACAGTTGGAACGAGGCCGAAAGGAGCTGAGCCACTACGTGGAGACCTGTGACATGGCCACTTTCCTCTCCCAATGGGACCTGACTATAAAGAGAGTGCTCAAGCTGTCTGTGCTTTTCAGTAAACTCATTGCCTTGGAAGAGCCAAGAAAGCTCCATGTCAAGCACAGTTTGGTGTCACAGGTAATTCTTGGAGGTGCTGTACACCCTCACATCAGTCTTTCTCTGTACACAAAGAAGCCACCGATTTTTGATCGGAGAGAGTCATTTGCGTCCCAGAACTGGGCCCAGCTCAAGTGGATTAATGAAAACCAGGAGTCACACCTCGAGCGGTGGCAACTGGAGATTAAGTTAGTGACAAATGACAGTCAGACAGAGCCAGGATACAGTCGGATTCAGGAAGTCATCTCCAACCCATGTGTAATCCATCACCTGCAGCCTGGCAGATTGTACGAATTCCGAGTGAAGAGATCCGACACTCACACACTTGTCTACTCACAGTGGCACGACCGCATTGTATTGAAGACAAAAACTGTCCCTGTTGAAGACACCAATGGCAGCACCAACAGCAGCTTGATGAGGCGGCTCACCAGAACATCTTCCTCATTTTAATGGTTGGGAAAAGATGAATAATCAAAATAAATTCTTTAAACATTTTGCAGAAAATGGAACTCGTTCTGTTTTCAACAGCAACTTTCCGAGCGCCTTCCCCAAATCTCTCCAGTTTAACGGTAACCCATTCCGAATTTCTCACACAAAACATCTTCCTTAGGAAGCATTTGGGACTCGACACTTGTATCCCACTGCCAGGAACAACCGGTGGGAGCAGCCAGAAGCAGGAAATCTTGTAGGACACCTCTGAGACAGAAGCATCTCCACCATGCGGTGCTTTCCATACACCACAAGATGCTTTGTGCCAGATCCTTGCAATGATGGTTTGGGATTTTTAGCCCAAGTTATTGTCCTTCTTCCAAAATACCTGAACTGAACCCTACAAAATACCTGAATTGAACTCTGAGCTCTTCAAATCACCCACCCAAGCTTATCTCCATCACTGCTTCCTCTCATCCTCTACACCCTGTGCCTTGTAGGTACCTAAGCATGACTTCACACTTGTCCCTCTGTAGGGCATGAAAAGATCACTCTAATTAAAAGAAACCAACCAAATCCCAACAATAAATAACCCCAAGTCCCCCAGCAAACAGGGAAGGGTAATACATCCACACAACCAATAGGCAGAAAATTATCTTCTCTGCCCCAAACTGCAGCTAATGTTTATTTTCTTTTTTATCACTTGGTTCAGTCCAAACAGAGCTGACCCCACACAGATTCTAATCAAACCATCACATAAACAGACCTTTTAGTAATAAAATTTATTATTTAAATAAATTCAGATAATTTTTACAATTATGGCTTAAATATCAAAAAGAGGAATGTTGAGGTTCATTCTTATAAACGGTCGAAGCAGGTAAAAATATTTGTATCCAAAAAGTCATTTGAGGTTTGCTGCGAGTCACAGACATACAAAAGATAAAAACCTGCTGCATTTCAAGTTCCTTAATTCACACTTCATGACACTTGACATTTCATTTCTATTTTTAAAAAAACCCCATCAATTTATTGCAGTAAATTGATTGTCCTACACAGATCTGTCCAAGTCCTCAGAAACAGTCCAGCTGGCCAAGGAGAGGATTCCTGGGACCACATGGCCCATCCCAGGCTGACACCAGGCACACCACTGGCTCCCTGCATAGGTTCCCCTTGATCAGTTTGTGCTCAAGCTCTACCTAATGCCAAAGAAATTAAGTTAATCCTGATGGATGAACTGACATTTGTGTCCTGCAACCATGTGGTTTTGGCTGTGGGGAACACAGAGCCTGTGACTGGACAGATGCCCTGGGCACCACGTTGCCAGGTGTTCCTACTGGGATTCCCAAAGGTTTGCTATTTTAAAAACATTTAATTTTAACATTTGCTATTTTAAAAAATATTTGCTTGAATGTAAAATTCTTTCCAAAGTTAATTCAAAGCTCGGTGTGCAAACGAAACCAAACAAATTTGGACTTTTTTTTCCCTCTATTGATTTCTATGATTCTCTCCATGAGCACAAGGACAAGAACATGATATTCAGCTGTCACTACAGTCTATAAAAAGTTTAATTGCACTTTCTGCTATCCCTGACTATTCCATGCCCAGCTCTCCAGGAACCTGCTCACAGTGCCAGAAGCACAAGGGTCCAGCCTGGCTGTAACTGCTGCTTGGGTGCATTTTCTAAACACCAGTTATAAAATACACCTTCAGAGGAAAAAAATAACATGTATATTGCAACACAGAGGTGACCAAGCAAAGCATTTTAGTCTTGGAGTAGGAATAAACATGTTTTCCCCACTGAGGACAAAGGGAGTTGCTTTATGAGGTCTCTCTCTTGGCCAAACCCCCTCTGAGTGCACTGACTAAGCCACTAGACATGGGGTGAGTCTCCTCCTGTATGAAATAATGTGTTACATGTATGAAATAACCAGGAAAAAAACAAGGGGAGAAACTCTCCACTTACAGGTGATCATGAAAATGAGGCCCACTGGTTCTAAAAGGGACCAAGGTGGCTTTGTCTGAATGGTGCTGGGCCCCATGCATCCCAAGAATTCCAGCCTCTCCTGCAATTCTCCACATCATCTTGGAGCTCCATGACTGCATTTCAGTAGCCCACTGAATGATTCCCAGACAATCTTATTTTGGAATTGCAATAATATTTGCAAAACCAGGCTGGTGCAGAATCTTTTAAGGTCCCACCCTGGATGACTTCAAAGAGGAACAGTGAATTTTACCTCCTACCAGCACCTTTAGAACCAGCAGGACGTACTTCCTATGGGGTTTTATGCCTCGTGGAATCACCAGCCATATGCCTGTCATTATGCTTCAGCAGGACAAGAGCAAGCCTGGGTGGTCTTTGGCATAGAGCTCAAAGCCCCCAAAAGGCAGATGTGCAGGAAGGTAGTTTAAAACTAGGAAGAGAACGACAAAACCTCTCCGTGTATCCTCAAGCCAAGACAGAGAGTCATGAGAAGAAACACAGCGTTTAAACACAGACACCACGCTTCCTTATTGCACATTCCTCCACGCTGGGAAGAGCCACCCTGCACTTCAGCTGCAAACAGGATGAAATTCATCCTCCCACAGCGCTGGGAAACCACAGGGGCTCACAGCAAGGAAAACTTGTGTCCCAGCACAGCACAGACTTGGTACTACACCGTGTTTGCATCTCATCTCCATCCCACATGGACACCTGGAGACGGCCAAGCACGTGGTTCGGGGAGAGCCGAGGCAGGCACTTCATACATTCAGAGTTGAAACAGAGAGATAAAAGACACCCTCCCTCCAAACTGTCACGCTTCAAAGAGCAGCTCCACGATGCTCAGAGAGCACCACTTCACCGTGACACATCGCCACCAGCCACAGCGGGCAAAGGCAGCCTCTCTGGTGAATCACAGCTTCCAGCTCACAGCAGTTTGGCTACAGAATATAGAAAAATACATTATAAACACATATGCTGTGGTACATTGATCAAATTTCCTTCACTGTTCTTAAAATCTCAGGCCGTAAGGCTGTGAAACGAATTCACAAAAGTTAATAAATTAGAAGCAGCTTTAAAAAAAAAAAAAAAGGTGGGGTAGGAAAGAGGGACTCAACAGGAGATTTCAGATAAATTCTGAACAGTTTAAAATAGGCTGACAAATCCTAGTGTTTCCTCATAGGAGCAGTCCCCACCTTTCCTTTTTTACCTTTGTGCTGGTGAGGAACAAGCTCCCTTGTACAAAGAACATGTAAATCTATTTACAAAATCACCTTGGCCTTGGCACTGCAATATTTACACGCTCAGAGAACAATATTTTGGCTAGACAAAGAGTGGTGCATGCATCTCTCTTTGCTTTCTTCCTTCACTTAAAAAAAAAAATAAAATAAAAAAGAGAAGTCTTAAAAATCCCCCTGGCCTTGGTTTTAAAATGAGAGGCTTTTTAACTCAGAAGCTTTGGTCCTCCAGGGTAAGCAGGATCTTGCTGCGCAGCTCTGCTGTGTGTGGTTGTTCCACCCCGATGAATGGACTGAGTATTTGATCCCCAAAGCGCAACCCCGATGGCTGGACTAAATATTTGGTCCCCGAAAATTGCAGCTGCAGTGGCAGGTAGGATGGGGGGGGGTTCCGCTGAGCATCTTACAGTTACAAAAACAGTAGTGTCGTCAATAAAGTCACACGCCCGTCATCCCTCTCCAATGCTTTTTGGTTTGCTGTAGCTGAAAGTTCCTGTCCGAGGTTGCGCTGATTAAAAACACCCCAAAAAACGCTGAAGGAGGTGCCGAAGCTCTGAGCTGTCACGGCACAGGGGGAGCTCCCAGCTCCCCCCGCTGCATTTGGCTCCGTAGGTCGTTAAATGACGGAAAGATCTGGTCCTTCCCAAGGCACACGAAACGCAGCTCGGGCGGAGGGGGCCCACCCTCATCGGATCGCTGTGCTCCTCCTGACACGGATCTCCTGGGCTGCAGCACAGCAGTTGCGCTGGCCGGTAATGCTGGAGGAGCCTCTTCCACAGAGGGTTGCATTCCAGGAGGTACCGGTTCCCTGTGGGCACAGGGATGGGGCCAGCGGGTTAGTGACCAGAGGAGGCTCGGCTGATATCATCACCAGGAAACTTTTGCCTGACATCTCTAGCTAAAGGGCTGGGTCCCTGGCAGGGAGCATTTCCAGCTCCCTTTTTCCGTGCTGTCATATCTGTGAGCAGCTTCCCTACACACCCCAGTCTATGCCTGTGCAATTAGGAGAAAAGTAAGCAGCCTGATTCTGTTAGGAGAGAGCCCCAGCATGCAAGGGACAGAAACAACGTGGTCCAAACCAAAGGGTGAGAAAAACTAACTGTATGTGCTGCACTCAAGCTGTGCATGAGCCCTGCTTTGCCTGGATTGCCCAGTTTCAAAACCACAGACTTAAAAAAAAAAGGCAGAAGAATAAAGCAAGACTATTGCTTTGGTACTAGTTTGGATCACCACCCCTTTATACCCAAGCATCCTATTTCCCTGCAGGCCTGTGCACCGTCCGAGGAGACCCACCTATGATGCAGAGTCCTTCCTGAGCTCGTGTGATGCCCACATTGACCTGGTTTGGGTCAGTTACAAACCCCAGGTATTTCTTCTGCCAGCTCTTCGTGGGCTTCCTATCAATCTCAGACCGGGGGCAGGAGCGTACAGTCGACAGGATCACGTATCTCCACTCACTTCCTAGAAAGTGGAATCGAACCAGATTTGTTTTTTTTTTGAAAGAAGTATTTGGTCATCCCTCCACCCCACAGGACACTCATTTCTCTACTGCAGTCACCCTCTGGGTTTCTCCTGCTTCGGAGACCATCAGACTTCTGGTCGTTGCTCTCCAAAGAGAACGTGTTTTGGCAGTTCTCCAACACCCCCATCAGACACAGAATTGTAGAATCACTCAATGGTTTGGGTTGGAAGGGACATTAAAGACCATCTAGTTCCAACTCCCCTGCCATGGGCAGGGAACCTTCCCCTAGAGTTCCTCCACCTTCCCGCCTTCAGCAGCCTCACCCTCCCCAAGCACTCCAGAGGCTTCCAAAAGATTTATTATACTCACAAATCACCCAGAAATCTGATCTTCCATGGTTGAAATGACCCTGGGGTAGGGTTTGCTCGGAGACTATATTTGTGAGCAGCTCCAGAGGAAGGAAGGGGAGAGGAGACAGACCCAACCCTCCCCTCTCCTGCCCCCTCACCTTGACTCTTCATGATGGTGCAGACAGTCACCCCGCGGATGCCCTCCCTCAGGAGGCTCTTGTTGATCTCGGACACCTGGGCGTTGTAGGGGCTCAGGATGGCGATGCTCTCTGGCCGGATGGTGCCATCTAGTGCCAGCTGCTTGGCTATCCTCACCTGGAGAGACCAGCGTCCTGCTCACCCTGGGAAAGGATCCCGAGGGAATGGCCCCCCAGCACCCTCTCCATGGCGCTTGCCTTGAGGTCAGGCTGTCCTAAGCCTGCCTCTGTCCAGAGGAGTCCTGGTGTGCTCCAGGCCCGGGAGACACCAGGCAGACACCGCACCCAGCTGATCTTTAACTTTACACCTCTGTTGTCCCTCCACAATCCCAAGAGTCACCCAGCACAACACCCTCCCCTCCTGGGTGCCCTAGCAATCCCCCAGGACCCTCCTCACCGCCTGGGCCGCTTCATCAGGGTTGGCTTTGGAGTTCTCGTTTCCTTCCTCGGTGGAAATCATGAGGGACTGCTCCTTCCCTTCCACGTGCCCGAAGATGATGGGGCAGCAGCCGTTGTCCCTGTGGTGGAGCACACTGGGTCTCTGATGAAGCTGGGGCCACGTTTTCAGCCGCATTTCGTAGAACTCCTGGGATGGGAACTCACAAATGCCTTTGTGCTGGCAGAGAAAAAGGAGAGAAATCGAGGTGAGCAAAACTCAAGGAACTTCTCAGCTTGCAGCGCCCTTTTGGGCAGGCTTCACCCACTGTGACCTTGTGCTGTAGCAGGCCCTGGTATATTCCTACATGTAATCCTATATCTAGGAAGGGAAGGAACTAAAGGAGAACATCTGATGCTTGAGGCAAGCCCACATTTTCGTGTGATGGAGAAAAGACAATCCCCTCGAGGGCCTCACCATGCGATATTGTACATCCAGCATCCACGCCTGGTCCTGGTAGCGCTCAAAGAGAGACGTCTCCATGCCGAGGCTCTTGCAAACATCATTGTTAACCACCGGCCTCAGCTGCTTGTGATCCCCGAGCAAAACAACCTGGAAGGGAGAGCAGACACCTCAGCTGCGACGGTGGTGGCACTCATGAAGGAAATCAGCTCTTTGAAAGGCTGTTTGTACACACTTTTGTTGCTACTTATTTATGTTTACTTATTTACAGCAACCTCAGTCAAAGACCATGATATAAAGATCCTGCCCCAGATAATGTGTTCCCTCTGATGGGAGAAAACCAAAAAATCATAGGATTCTACAATAGCTTGGGTTGGAAGGGACCTTAAAGATCATCTCATTCCAACAGTCCTGCCATGGGCAGGGACACCTTCCACTAGACCAGGTTGCTCCAAACTCCATCCAACCTGACTTTGAACACTTCCAGGGATGGGGCAGCCACAGCTTCTCTGGGCAGCCTGTGCCAGGGCCTCACTACCCTTACAGAGAAGAATTTCTCCCTAATATCCCATCTAACCCTGCCCTCTGTCAGTGTGAAGCCATTCCCCCTTGTCCTGTCCCTCCACATCCTTGTCCAAAGTCCCTCTCCAACTCTCTTGAACCCCTTTTAGGCACTGGAATGCACTCTAAGGTCTCCCTAGGGCCTTCTCTCCAGGCTAAACAGCACCAACTCTCTCAGCCTGTCTCCATAGCAGAGCTGCTCCAGCCCTCAGAGTATATTCATGCCTCCTCTGGACCCGCTCCATTGTGTAGTTAAGTCTACTCAGATCTGCCCTATGCTTCTTGTCATGTTAATACTTTGTACCTGGGCCAGAACAACTTTTTGGTGACAGCACTACCCATCCCATAAAGAAGCACAAACCCATGGCAAGACTTGGAAGAGCAGCACGGTAAAGGATGGAAGAGGTTCCAGAGCCCCGAGCCGCTGTCCCAGGGCCGTGTGTTTGGGGGGGACGTACCTTCTCAGCAAAGCGGTGGCTGACCAAGGGGATGAGGGTCTCGGGCTCTGTGGACATGGCACACTCATCGATGATTATCTGCCTGACATTGAGCTGCTCCAGGACGTTGGAAGATGAGGCAGAGCATGTGCACAGGATGATATCGTGGCACTGCAGCTGATACGTGCGGCCGTGTGACAGCCACTCTTTGTACCTGGTGGTCAGTGCAGAAGACACCAGGTTAATAAGGGAAACATCTCCAGATTCCTCTTCAAGAACCAGGCAGAGCCTGTACTTTCCCAAATGGCAATGGCTCCCTCCCCTGGATGAGCTGGTGTTCCCAGGAACGGGGTTTGGATGGACACTGTAGGAAATGTACTTTGTGCTGAACTCAGCAGGGCGGGGGCTTCAGGTGGAGGATTCAAGGCTTACAAAGCCATAACAGGACTTCTGGTCCAGATGGACAACAGCACCAGCACAGAAGCGATGCTGAGGCTCTGCACTGTACCACTAATCCCGAGCTCATCTCTTTTTATCACTATTCTGAACACACAGTTTATTAATCTGCGCTTCAGAGCTGGCACACAGACATCTCTCACCAGGGTCTCTTCCTACTCACTTCTTTGTTTCTGCTTCTGTGATCTGCTCTCCGTTCCTCATCCGAGTGTCAAAGCGACAGATCTCCTGCCAGAAAGGGCTGGGCGACCGCCGGATGCGGTGATGCAGGATTATTTCGCTGAATAAAGAGTCAATATGTAAATATTTTCCCCCAGCACAGACCCAAGTGATCTATTCTACAGTAAGCAAACCACACCACCTGTCTATGGGGAGAAACCCCATTAGCTAAAAAAGTCAACAACCAGATTGTCCTATTGTTGTAGATCTAACAGTTCACACTCGAGGACAGAAAATACAACCACTTCCCTTTAGAAGGTGCAAGAAGAAATTAAGTCAGAGACTTTTAGAGCTGTTCCACAAAGAGGTGAAAACACCTAGGGACTTTTAAACAATCTAGGTTTCCTGACTAGTGCTACATTAGGCTATACACCTTCACTTGAAAAAATTAATTACAAATTAATTATGTAGCAGGTTAACAGTGCTGGTCCACAGTGGTGGAGTGAAACTGCATTTGCTCTGGTTTGTTCAGGGCTGCTGGTGCAGAAGCCACCTCTCCCCAGCACCCTCATTGCCTGCAAGGCCCTACCATCCTACCTGAGCTCACGCTTTGGCTTTGTATCCCGCAGGGATTTACGGGAGAGCTGCCGGTTGCTCCCCGGGTATGGGAATTCCATCGTCTCGATGGCCTCCCCATAAACCCTCAGTGGTTTCAGGCTCTTTATCTTCAGCAGCATCTCTGGGGAAGGAAGACAGGTCTGCTCAGACGGCACCAGGCACTGGTGGTGCTCATGGCCTGCCTCTCCCCACCCCTCATCCTCATCCCACCCTCACCAGTGCTCGCCCTGCAGCGAGGGGTCTTCTGCAAGGACCATGCCCACTTTCTGCCCCTCCTGCTCACACCACGTGTTCTCCCTCCCACCACTACGAGCCACTTCAGGGGCTTAAAAAAATGACAGTTACCAGCAACAACATCAACAGACTTGTTGGATGGGCCACAGTACAAGATGCACTTCCTCTTTTTGTGCTTTTCTTCTTCCAGGCACGGTGTTTCGTCCTTCTCAATGCTCTCCTCATTCAGTTTATGGAACCAGTAGACAATGTGAGTTCCAACAATGGTCTTCCCGTGCCTAGAAAAACGAGGAGGATGCTGAGAACATTCCAGCCAGAGCAGCCATGCTCTGGATCAGCATCTGCCTGATCAGTCATGAAATAAAATCAAGAATGGAGGGGACTGCCTTGCAGAGCTGTGGGTCATGCCAACACACACTACCTTCTCCTGGTTCACCGAGGGTCCTCTGGAAGGCAGCAGATCAGCTCTGACTGCCATTCATACCATGTGCTCTCCTGCTGTCCCCCCTTACCTGGTGGGCCTTGGATGAGCGTGAAGGAATCTCTCAGAGCATTCAGGATAGCCTGGTTCTGACTCTGGTTAAGCTTCCTTTGGCTGCCAGGGAGATCAAAGGATCTTTGCTGCAGGATTCTGGATGTTGTCACTGTTACAGCAGGGCCAAGAAAACAAATTTAAAGAAGGTTACTGAAGGCAGCACAGAAGTGATTGAGCAGGAGGAAGCAGCAGGTACTGAGCAGTCACGGTCCATTACAAGACCACCTAAAAATAATCCTTGTCCCATGCCAAGATACTCTGCCTGTGAACCCTCTCTGTGAGTCCTGGGGATTACAACCTCAGCAGGGCATCCCAAATTACGTAGCAGCTCCTCTCATCCCCTTGTCAGGGGGACCTCCTGGTGTGGGAGCATCAATCCTACGGCAAGGGCGCACGGAAGCTGCCGGGGCACCTGCCTGGCCAGAAGCAAGTAGTCACGAGGTAAAAAGATTAATATTTGCACTTACCTTTCTGAGGAGGTTCGTGGCCAAGGGCGATGCTTTTGGCAAGCTCGGAGGCGTATTTCAGCCTCCAAAGTGCCTTTTCTTTCCGTCTGGCAGACAAGGAAAAATAAGAATGAATGGAATGCAGCACAGAATAGCAAATGTTGTAATACAGCTTTGCACAGCTGCCTTGTTTATACTTTCTCTCTGCTTTGGTGTTGCACTGACTCCTTCCACAAAGAACTTAAGCCGCAAATAATTTAGACTTATTCTGCTCCTCTGCTTCTGGGACTGTTTTTTAACTGAGTGAAGAGCTGAGCCTGCAAAGATGTTGAGAGTGAGGAGCACAACTTCAGTCCTGACTTCATTTTATTATGGCCCACCTTCTCTTCGTGGATTAGCTTCCAGTTTTTCCTAAAATTCAGGGCACAAAAGGAAGCACATTCTGCCCTGAGAAAGCCACAACGTCGTGGGTACGTAGCAGCCTGTGCTGTGTACGAGGAAGGGCAAACTAGACATCAGCTCTGATTTAATAAGAGCAGACCTGGCTTTGCAGCAACAACAAAGGGGAATGATTTGGAAATCAGGGAGCACTTCTGCTAAACAAATGCCACTCCAGTGCTTCACATATGACATGTATTGCAGCAACTCAGTAACTCAGTAAGTAGAAAAGATGCCCAGGGAAATTTCAGCATCTTCCCCTATCTCCCGAGTCTCAGGAACAACCAGAAGAGCATGAAACCCTCTGGAGAACAGACCTGAGGAGTGCTGCCACCCCCTGAAGATCCACAGCCCAACAGTATGGTTAGTAAGAGCTGTGTAAGGGCCGGCTTTTCAGGGGATCAGCCACAGCAGCGAGCAAAGCCCATGGGGGTGCAGCAGAGGGGCCCCATGGAAGCCACTGCTCTGCATGGACAGGGTAACCAGAGCACTCTGCTAAGCCCACTTACACGTCTGGCAGCATCTTTGGTATGAGCTCCACCGTGAACCTGGCAGAGGCCTGTGAGATCTCCACAGGGATGTTCTCCATAGACATATAGTGGATGTAAAAGTTCATGGTCTGCTGACCAGTCCTGTCTGACTTCTTGTCATCGTCGGCCTCCTCGGTGACCCCGTGAGCCACCCAGGTGTAGGTATCGGGATCCACCACAAGTTTGTTCTCTGACCTTTCCTTGTCAAGCAAAGCCAGGTTCTGGAGGCCATGGCTAAGGCTTTCCTCGTCGCTTTGGAGGCTCCCAAGCTTCAGCCCCCCTAAGCGGATGCACAGGTAACAGTGGAGGAAGTCCACTTCAATGGAGCAGTCCTCCAACCACTTTTTGTTCAGCACAAAGCTCCCCTGCAGCTGCCCTTTGCTCGTCCTTTGCCTTGCCCACTTTATTTTAACATCGTGGAGGACGATGGAGTCGTTCTCGGCCACGGCGCAGGACGCAGACTCCATGGCGCTCATCGGCATCCACACCCTGTTGTACTCGGCCGTGTTCTTGTACCTGTCCTTGGACTGCAGCGTGGCGTAGGCAGAGAAGCAGTCGATTGGCTTCTCCGTGTGCTGCAGGCAGACGTCAAAACCCGGCGCCACACACCACAGCTGCACGAAGGGCACCAGGAAGCCCCGGCAGACGTCGGTGGTGAGCTGGAACCGCAGCGCGTCGCCGGCGCTCAGCTCCAGGCCCAGCTCCATGTAGTGCGAGCACTGGCTCTTCCGCACCCACCCCACGTGCCGCTGGTACAGCTCCTTGCTCTGCTGCAGGAGGTGGGCAGCCCTCTCAAAATCCTCCTTCCGGATGGCTGTGAGCACGTCTTGCCAGGTCTGGGTGCGGAAGAGGGTGACACTCTGGTCACGGAGGGGTCCTTCCCGCAGGCTGTGATCCTTCATCTCTGCAGAGTACATCCTCCTCTTCCACGTCAGCCTGATGCTGCTCCGCTGCTGGATGAACACGGGCTGCTCTATCAGCTGAAGGGACCTGTAGTTAATTTTCTGTGGATCCGGAAGGCTCTCCTTGTTCAGGGGAAACAGGGCTTTAAAAAACCTGCTCATCTCTTCGATATCCACCACGAAGGCAATCTTCTGCAGGACTTGGCCCTTCAGCTGGGTGGCCATCTGCAGGCAGTGGGCTCTCTTCTCATACATCATCGCCTGGGAGTTCTTCCTGTTGAAGTCGTGACAGAGGAAGTCAATGTCGTCCACAGAATAGATGAGGGGCTTCTTGCGGAGCACGGAATGAAGGTGCCGCTGGACCACGACATCCACATATCGGCGGATGGGAGAGGAAGCCCAGGTGTACGAGTCAACGTGCAGGGAGTAATGGCCTGCTTTCGACTGGACAGTGGAGTTGGAGCGGCAGAAATAGGAGCGGCTGAGCAGCCTCCTGAACTCCAGGGCCAGGGGGGCCAGCTTTGGGTGGATGTCATCAGTGACGACAAGGTCTAGCATCTTGTGGAAGTCACGGGCACTGACAGCCGACTGCAGGTGCTCCCAGACGGGGGCCAGAAGACTGAACTCCACGTTTTTAGGGGTGTCTTGTCCAGGAGGCACCTCTCCCAGGTGATGCAAGAGATGGATGGACAAAGGAACCATGTGGTTGTACTTGTTTTTCATGTGTGACAGCTGGGTAAGACTTGGCTCACACTGACACCGGAGAGGAGTGACATTTCTGGTCACCTCCTTGTCGGTGAGGAACTCGGCCACGAAGCTGTTGAACATGATCATTAACTCCTCTATCATCTGATGGGACCCCCTCTTACCTGGGGAACTTTCCTCATCCAGCCGGTCATAGAAACAGTCCTCCTGCAGCCGAAACTTCCTGTGGATCCTGGAGAAGTGATAAGCCACAGCAATGCAGTCCTCCAGGGTATCAAAACGAAGGGCGTTTGCTCCTCCCCTGTAGCAGTTCTTAATGCAGAGCTCTGCCTCTTCGTAGGACAGCTGCCTGTCCGAGCGGATCACGGAGATGGTGAAGACTTCCTTTAACATCTGATCGGTGTCCTTTTCTATGGTGACAAACAAGGAGATCACCCGCCGATCTTTCTGCGGCAGGAGGCTGCACACGTCCTGGCTAATGCGGGGTGGGAACATGCACAGAGGCTCCCGCTGGGGAGCGTAGTAGGTGACCCCCCGCTTCTTGGCTTCCAGGTCCAAGGCACAGCCTTTGGGAATGATGCCGGCCACGTCTGCAATGTGGATCCCGATCTCGTAGTGACGCCCAAGATCCCGCACACTGATGGCGTCGTCCAAATCCCTGGCACCCTGGGGGTCAACAGTGAAGGTCGGGTAACTCCGACAGTCCTTCAGGCATTCCTTGGTGAGGTTTATGTTGCTGTTGGAAGTGTGTTTGGCTAACTCCCTGTTGACAGCAGGTGGATATTTATTATCCAAACCGTACTCCAAGGCAAGGATCTTTAGGCCTTCTTCCAAAGTCAGTGCAGCATGCAGGATCTCCGTTACTATTCCCAAAGGGTAGTAAAACCCCTCCCGCCAGGAGATAACCTGGACGCAGAAGAACTGGCACCTCCTCGTCTCCTGGTTGATCTTCTCACAGCTGACCACCTTGTACTTCCCATTGACAAGCTTGCGGATGGGGATGACGTTGGGCTTCTCCTTCAGCCCTGGGACAAATATTTTGGTGACGGTGGGATCGATGGGTATCATCACCCGGGGATCAAACTCGTCCATCATGCAGATGAAGCTCCGCTCTCTCTCGGCGCGCTTTAGGATGCCCACGACCTTCCCCTGCGGGCGGTGGCTGCTGCTGTCGGCCGTGCTGCTCTGCAGGATTTCCACCAGCACCTCATCCCCTGTGAAGGCCGTCCCACAGTGAACTCTGCCCTTGATCTGAATGTTCATGGCAGGGGAGTCATTGAGGGTGAAGGCAGAAGCTCTGTCGAACCCCTCTTTGATCAGCTCGCATCTCTTGTACATGTTGGGGTGCATATGCAGATACTGCTGCATCGTCTGAGAAGAGAAGCTGGTGTATTCCTGCTTGTCTGCCCACAGGTTTGAAGCCTCAGACTTCACATTCAGCAGCCCTTCTTCGGACACTGTCACCAGCATGTTCTTGCTCTCATCTAGGAGCTCCTGGAGGATGGGATCATCGGGATTCACGCTCTCATCCTCAGAGCTTGAGGAATCTGTGTCGCTGTCCTCCTCATTCCCCTCTGGGCTTCTGCTCCAGCTCTCCTTGTCACACGCAGCCTGTTTGATCTGGGCCATGGTCAGGTTCTCCGGGAAGATGCTCCCCTTGTCGATGCACTGCTGGATGAAGCGCTTCCACACCTTGCTGCACTGGCCGTGGGAGCACAAGGCCACGGCGTCCCCCACTGCCACCACCAGCGACTGAGCCCGGGTCATGATGGTGTTGAGCACTCTGGCCTCGTTGAAGAACTCGAGGTGGTGTGAGGCCGAGACGCGCAGGCTCTCGCTGGTGTGGACCGTGCTGATGATGATGACCCGAAACTCCCGCCCTGCAACGAGGGGGACAAGAGAGAGGTCACTCACAGGAACCCAGTGGGGAAGATCCTGCCTGGCTGTCACCCATCTATGCTGTGTCACGTGGCTGTGGACTGATGTGACCCTGCTTGGCTGAAACACGGGAGTCACCTGGTGGGAGTAAAGCACCTCTTGGGGATGGTGAGATCCTCTGGGCATGAGCCAGGATGGACACCACAAGGTACCACCACCCACAAACCAGGGAAGGAAGGACAGTGTGGAGACAGGACACTGGGGCAGTGCAGCCGTGGGTGCCCATGGAGTAGCCCTTTGTGCCCAGTGCCACCAGCAGCCCCCACCAGCAGCTCCTTCCAAACACGGGTGAGGTTTGCTGTGAATCCCAAATTCCCTGAGGGACTGAGGGTCTTGCAGGAACAAGAGCAGTGACCATTTGCAAGGATCCCTCTCCCCTCGAGAAGAGCTCTGCTGATCACACAAAAAAATAACAACCCAAAAGAGGCCCCCACGGTGATGTCAGAGCCTGGAAGAGACTGCAAAAAAAGGGTGTGGAGATCAGAAACACCCCCCAGGGTCAGTTATTCTCACCACAAGGAGTCTCAGCTGCACATTAAAAAAAAAAGATAATAATAATAAGAAACATGGATGAGTCATAAACTAAGTCCTTGAGGAAAAAACCAGCCCTATCCCTCTCTCATCATCCAGAGCTGCAGACTCCTCCTCTAGTGAGCTGCTCTAGTGAGCTGTGATTGGTACCCACAGGCCATCCCATCCTGGTTTCAATTCCCTTCTATCACTTGCCTCCCCCACTGGTACTCAGGGCTTCACATGATTCACACATGCCCAAGTCTCTGGGATGGCACTTACAGAATTTTCACCCTCCTACAAAGCAACATCCATATATTTGAAATGAGTTGACAGTTGGGCACAGATTTAGTTCAGTGTGGAATCTTATTCACTAAGGATAAGCTGAAGTCGAAGAATTGCCAACCAGAAGGGGATGGAAATCAGCCAAAGGATTTCCAGACACTCCCTCTTCATCAGTGTTACGTGGGCTGTGGCAGTGGCAGAGACACGGGGAGGGTAGGGGAGCTCTGCCTGGCAGCACCTCCCAGAGACATATTTTTCCATGATTAATAGCCAATGTTCTGCATTTTAGCAGGGAGGAAAATGTAAATACTTTGGAAAATCCTCTGCTAACACCCCAGTGCCTCTTCACCCAGCCCGTTACACAGTGACTGTAGTTGCTATGGACTCTCCTGTTCACCAACATGACTGCAGAAGTTGTCCATGACTTGCACACAAAAGACCCCAAAACACAGCCAAGCACAAGACACACACCAGGCAAGTTTTCGTAGTTTTCCACCACCACATCTTGTAGCTGCTTTTTCCTCAGCTCTTGTCTTGTTGCAGAAACCTGATAAGAAAGAAAGAGGCACAACTGAACTCAGCTCGGAAAGGCCTCCCATCCAACACCAAGGTCCCTCACCCTGCCTGGCTGCAGGTTCCTCAAGTTACGTGACAGCAGCCACACGTTCAGGGCTGACTTCAGCCAGGGCTCACACTGCCCTGTTGTTCACCTGCCTAGAAGATGCTGAAAGCAGTGTTCAACTAAGCCATCCCACCTCTGCTCTGACCACCCAGGACACGCTGCCTAAATGGACAGTGCCTCAAAAAAACCACTGGTGGCGTGTGAGACCCCAGATTCCCTATTTTCACTAGCACATGAGGCAGGTTTATCATAAATAAATTAAAAAGCATTCATTAGAGAATGTTTACTCATCAGTGCAGGTGGGGAACATGGGGTTCTCCTACACACCTGCATGCCATGGGAGACCACACAGATCTTCTTCAGATCCCGGACACCCCACTCATCTGGCCACCTCTGATAGATCTCCTTCACTTTCTCAATCACTTGTATTATCTCAGAGGCGTTGTGCCAAGAAATCATGGAGATATCCCTTTCAGCCACACCAGACACGTGGCAGAACACGAGCGGGTAGATTTCGGGATGGGGTGGGATGTTCCCACTGGCTTGGATGGCATTGCCATTGCCAATGTAGAAGTGCTTGGAGACAAACTCGATGATGCCTGCAGTGGAACGGTAATTCTCATTGAAGATGATCCTGCTCTTCGTGGCCACTTCATGCCTCTCCTTCTGGTAGAACTGAAAGAGCCGGTTCAGGAGGGTGTGATCAGCAGATTGCCCGCCCCCAACACAGAACAGCTTGGGGGTTATCTGCATGTGGTCCCCGGCGAGGACAATCCGGGTCTCAAAGGTGGCGAAGGAGAGCGGAACCAAAGCCTCACACTCCAGCATCTGCGCAGCCTCGTCGATCATGATGTGGGTGAAGTAGCCCGGGGGAACCTTCAGGTTCTTGGATAACATGGAGGTGGTGATGATGATGTGGTGCTTGTCGATCTCTTGCTGCGTGGGGTGCCGGAAGGAGCGCTGGTCTGGCGAGAGGCAGCAGTACATCTGGGTGGTGGGGTCTGTCAGGTTGACGGGCCGGTCGGTGGATACAATCCTCAGGGGAACCGCCCATGGGTGCCCGTTGATCACGTAGTTGTGGAAATACTCCCGGATGTAGATGTCAGCAGCACTGGAGGGGAACAGAAAGGAAAAGCATGGAGGAATTGTAGGTGCTGTTCCTAAATTCCGTGACTGCCATCCCAAAGTGCTCTCAGGTCATCCCCCACCACGCACCCAGACTCTCCCCCTGCTCTGGTGACACCACACTTGTCACAGCAGACATTCAGAGCCACGCACATGAGCCAGTGTTGGTGTAGCCACCAATTCCCAGCCTCTTTTGAGAGTATGGGTTAAAAAAGGAGTTGATACTGAAGACCAGGGCATCTCTCAACACCCATATGGAAAAATGTGATGTGCCCAACAAAACCTGTGGCCCTGCTGCTGCCCAGGGCCAAGTGGCACAGAGTTCTCCTCTGACAGCATCCCCATCCCCGTGTGAGACAAGATCTGCCAGAGAAGCTTCCGTGCAAGCAAACAGCCTGGAACAGGCTAAGATTAGCAGCCACCATCTATTATGCATTAAAAACTGAGGCAGTAGCAGCCTGCAGGATTGGATGTGGACACTCTTTTCAGTGTGACTGCTCTAATTTTAAGTCTTGGCCTGGTTTCTCTGAAGGCAGATTCAGTGGCATTCAGACCAGACCTGCATTTGCTCTCCCCCAAACTCTCCTCGGAAAAGTCAGTAAACTGCCACGTGCACAAAGCAAAATAGCCTTCAAGGGCAACTAGAGCACAATATTATCCCAGCACAATCAGGCAATGGCTTTCTACTTGTTGCAGTACACAGTAAAGGCTGGAAAGAATTGTCTCTCCAGCCCCATTCCCATTTTATAATGAAGCAGGAATATGTTAAGTGTTCAAGACCAGGTTGGATGGGGCTTGGAGCACCGTGGTCTAGTGGAAGGTGTCCCTGCCCATGGCAGGGGGTTTGGAACAAGATGAGCTGTAAGGTCACTTCCAAACAAAACCATTCTAGGATTCTATGACTCTGTGTTGCCGCTTCCACAAAGACTTCCACCCATGCCTGGCTTCTTCCTAGCAGGAACTGCTAGAGCAGTTTAAGACGTATTCAGTAAAAACTAATTTATTTAAGCAAACAAGTGAAGTGCACACTGAGAAAAGGGCAGCTCAGCTCTGGCTCATAAACCCTGGCTCCCCCTCAATCCCCCAAGGAGAGCAATGGACCTGACTGCCCGCAGCTCTGGTTGCCTCTTCCCTGCTAACCTGTTCGTGTGAGTGCAGATCAGCACCCGTGTGTTGGGCTGCCTGAGGATCTCCAAGGTGGCCATGGCCAAGGTGAACGTCTTCCCTGTACCGAAAGGCCCATAGATGAGCAGAGGTGGGACCTGCCGGCTGGAGTTCTTCTGGCCTGTGATGAAGGAGATGGCTTGTTTCTGCTTGCTATTCCCTCTCTGTGGTGACGCAAGAGAGTAGGGGATGGTGCAACTGGCAACATCTGGCAGGACCAGCTTCTCATCCAACAGGCGATCCACAGCCTGGTGCCACTGCCGGAACAGCAGCTGGTCAATTTGGAACTGGATCTCCACCCTGTGGGAGGTGTTTGCCTTGAAGTTCAGCTCCAAGCAGCATCTGTTTGGTATCTGCAGCCAGATGGTCTTCTCCGTGGTGGCTTTGTGCTCCACGATAACTTCATAAACCCGGTTGTCTACAGGTGGGTCAGGTGCCAGGAACGCGGTGGGCACAGACCTGCTCAGCAGGTACCCCTCATCCGTGTCCGGAGAGAGGTTGTACGGGGTAGGCACTTCAGCAAACAGCTCCCCAGAGAGGGCAAACTTCATCCCCATGGAGAGGCTCTGCAGCATGGGCGTCAGGGAGATGAGGACCCGCAGGTTGAGTCTGAAAGGAGGGAACACCCGAATGAAGAGCAGGGAACAGACCCCCCGGTGAAGGGAGGATTGCTACCTACACCTAGAGAGGGTCTGCCAGCCCCCTGAGCACAGAGGGACAGAAATTGTGCTTCTCACTAATCCACAGCCACAGGATGAGACCCAGCTCTCCCCCTCCTATCCCCACCCAGCAAGTCATCCTTCTTGGCAGGTTCCCATTTTTCTGGGAAAGCACCCCAGGACCCAACCCAGAAGGGACAGAGACCTCAGGAGCAGCATGGTCCCATCGGTTAACCATGGGCTCATGGTCCTCAGCAGGGAGGAACCACCTGGATCCACACCTGGCACTTACTTGGCAATCAGAGCCTGCTCGGCTTCCTCCTCACGGAAGAGGAAGCTGTGCATCCTGTCCCGATAGTTGAGCCGGGTGATGGGAACCACTGCACCGCCCTCACTTTGGTAATCCAGCGCCAGAGCAGGAGGTTTGTACTTTGCCAGCAGAGCCACATCTTCCGCCGTCCTCGGCACGCTGGGAACGATGATCCGGTTACCTCTATCCCACCGCTCGAAGTTGACAGTCCGGCTGCTCTCCCTGCTGCTGGGGACGTGCTGGGGGGTCTCCCGCCGGCCCACCTTCACCTTGATCTTCTGCATGAGCACGGGGCGTTTGCCAAAGTCGAAGACCACCCACTGCTCGAAGACCCCCAGCGTGCAGCACTCCATGCTGACCTCCACCTGCGCCGTGCGGGGCGAGGAGCACACGTGCTCCCCACGGAGGTACTGCAGGTCCTGGGAAAGGCCGTTCCCCGAGAAGTAGAATTTGACTCCAGGGTCCCGCTTCAGCAGGGCCACGTGCTGCAGAGACATCTGCCATTGAGGAAAACACAGGGACACAGTGAGAGCAGCCCATGGGAAGAGCCCAGCATCTGGTGAGGTGCTGCAGCAGCACTTCCTAGAGAAATGACGTGTCAGACCCACCATAGCTTATTCCTCATGTGACCCCACAGCAATTATTTTAAGGTCTCAGAGAACCTCAGGTTTCAGTTTAGTATCAATGGAGCCAGTGCACTGTAAAAGGGAAATCTCCTGCATTGGAGAGGACAGGCTCTTGCCCCCAACACCCACAAAATCCTGGGCAGAAAAGCAGCTGAATGTGATGATAAATGTGAGGCGTTAAGAGGAGCTAAGTCTGCCCCAGCCCCACTGCAGAAGATAGGAGACACAGTGGCTGCACCCCTCACACACAGCCCCAGTGCAGGCACAACCTGAGCTGCTCCTGAATACCCAACACATGTCCTCACTTGGACATCCCCAAAGCCCTGTCCTTCTACCCCTTGCAGAAAATAGTAATAAAAAAAAAAAAACAAACCAACTCTGAACAAAACCCTCCAAAGCACAAAGACTGCACCCAGCAGCAGGCACTGCCAGCAGCAAACAGCCTCCCTCTGCACAGAGATGGGCTTACCTGAGCGTGGACCTTGAACCTCCACTGGTATTTCATCCTCCTGTCCTCCAGCTGCACTTGCAGAGGCTGCTCACACACAACTCTGACACCCTCGACATGCTCAGACATCTGTGGGAGGCATGAGAGGGACTGAAGGCAGTATCCCAGAGACACACACTGCAGAGCCCTCCGTGGGGCCAGCTTTGTCTTTGCCTTTACACTGCATCCTCCCAAGAGGGACCAACAGTACATCCTCACCCACCGCTGCTCCACATCCCTTGGGAAGCGAGAGGCCCTACGGCACAGCTCGGGTACCCCGAGCAGGCTCTCAGGTTACCGTCTCAAAAGGGGTGAAGGAAGGGGGATGCCACATCCCTTTCTGCATCCCCGTTCGGAAGGTGAGTGGTGGGTTCCATTCCCAAGCTCTCACACCAGAAGATTCCCGCACTGGACCAACGCGCTCCCACCCTGTGCCCTCCACTCACAATTAACACCTCGTTGGAGCACGTCCGATACTCGGCAATGAGCCGGTCCTGGTAGGACAAGAGCCCGTCCTTCAGGGCTTGCTTCTTTTTCTTCGTGGCAACCTTCACCCTCTGGATCCACTCCTGCAGCTCCTCTTTGGAATGGGCCTTGGTGCAGCTATTCCCCATTTCACACACCTCGGCTCTGTCGGGAGAGAGGTGTCCCAGGTGCCACCCGTGCCCGGTTGGCATGGGGGTCCTCGGGGAGCCTCGGGCAGCTGCCTGCTGCCGCCCCTGCCCTCTGCTCTGATGGATGCCTTACCTGCTGCACAGCGAGAACTTGGTCAGCCCGAGCGGCGGCGCGCGGTGCACCCACTGCACGGAGCTGTCAGCCGAGAGCATCTGCACATGCTCGACGGAGGAGCAGTGGTTCTCGAAGCTCTCCTGCGAGCTGAAGGTCACCAGGCAGATCCGGCAGTAGAAGTGCACCGGGGCGGGTGCCTCTGGCTCGCCGTTGGTGCTGCAGGTGCCCACGGGCGGCAGCAGGTCGGAGCGCAGCAAGCCGTCCTCCCTCTCGGCCTGCCACACGGCCATCTCCACGTCACTGTGGGCGAACTGGCAGCGGCGCGGGCCGAGCCGGCAGGGCTGGCCCCGGGAGACGAAGCGGCAGTAGCTGAGGGTGGAGATGAACTCGGGGCAGGGCCGGATGGCTGTGTACTGCTGCTTCTTCTTGCTGTCCAGCACCACGTGCACCAGGAGCGGGTCCCAGGCGCGGTGGGACTCGCAGAGCCGCCTGTGGCCGCCCACCGAGATGCGCTGGGGGCAGCCGAAGAAACAACGCTTGCAGATCTCCTGGAAGTGCCCCCCAAACTCGCTGGTGATCTCACTGGCAGCGCTGGCAGGGGGGTGGGAGGCAGCGGGGGGGTGACCCCCCAGCTGCGCCTGCAGCACTGCCGCCTTCAGCCAGCGGTGCTCCAGCTGGTGTTCCCTCTCAAAGTTCCAGACCATGGCCTCCTCCACGCTCCAGGCAAAGGTGCACTGGTTCTTGTGCCTGCTGCAGCCCAGCCCCATCACGTAGTACCTGCAGACGGCGTAGCGTGCCGGGTTGGGGAAGCCGGGCCGCCGGGACACCTTCCTCCAGGCCTTGCTCCGGTGGCTGCGGCAGCGGGCCAGCAGGATCTCGTACATGCACTTGTGCTCCACCTCCCGCGGGTGGTAGGTGATCTCATTCTCCTTCACACTGCACTTGGAGCAGACCAGGAGCAGCTCCAGCTGCTTCTGGAGGCTGCCCAGTGGCACCCGTGGGCCGTTGGCTGTCGGCATCTTTGGCGGTGGCTTGAGCGGAGCAAAATGAACGTCCGGGAAGGTCCTACCAGGTGATGCCGGGGGGAGGAGGTGCCATGGAGCGAGTGGATGTGTCCTAGCTCTCTACATACCTGCCAGCCATCGGTGTGAGCTCATGAATCCTGACAAAGGAACAAGGAACAAGCGACTTAGCAGGAAATATCAGACAGTTCCTGGCTGGGTGCACAGGGAGGCACCGGCACAGCCAGGAACCCCACCCAGGCACCCTCACACTCCGCACCACAGCACCTGAGGTCTGCCCCCACCCACTCACCCAGCTCTGTTCCCGCACCAGGTCCCCGGGTCCCACAGGGATCGCACTGCTGAGTGGTGCTGGCTCCTAGCAGGGCTCAGCCTGATCCTGTGTGCCACAGCCCGTAGACCACCAGCATTTACCACCCAACACGGCAAAGCAGTGGAGGCTGCCCCAGAGGACCCAGCACGGCCTCCACGGTGGCCACAGAGCTCCCCCCAGACCACAGCCACATGATCCGACTTCCTCTTCCCGCTGCCAGCACCTTCCCCACCTCTGTTCCCTCCTGCCAACTTTCTCTTTCTTTTTCCTGCTCTCTGCCCTGGGCTGGCTGGGCAGCCCCACAACAAGTGAGAGGAATCCAGCTCCAGCCCCTCAGCCCATCTGCCCCCGTGGCACAAAAGACTAATTGGAATGAATTAAGGAAGGAGCCACCCTCTTTGCTCCCGGGATGCAGCACCCAAGGCCAGGAGATGGGCATGCAGGAACAGGGACCTGCCAGCATCTCCCCAGCTGACAGCTCGGTAAACATCCGGCTGGGAGAGCTCGGCCCTGGCGGTGAGGGAAGCAACTCACGGCTCACTGCCCTCTCCGGCCACCAGCGCCGGCATTTGCCATCAGTTTCCTGGGTAACCAGAGGCCAGGAACATCCCTGGGAATGATGCTGCGGGGTTTGGTGGCTGGGCCACGTGGTCAGGGTGAAGGAAACATGCCCGGGCACATCCATGGGCAGGGTGTGCTGCCAAGTAAAGCCACCAGCCTCATGCAGAGGGCTCCTGAGCAGCAGCCACCGTGGACTGGCTCTCCAGTGATACTGGGAAAAGAGCCAGATTTACGGCTGAGATCCAGTGGACAATGGAGGAGGAGGGCAAACCTTGCATTGCTTCTGCAGAAATACTTTTCACTTTTAGTTAAGAATCCTTTTCCTTCCTCTGGGATTAAAGGGGCACTGGGGGAGGCAGGCAAGGAGTGCTAAAGCTGCCACTCCAGCTGGAGCTCCAGGCAGCAAACACCGAGCTGGAAGTGGCTGGAGCATCACCCACCCTCCCAGCTCACCCTCAAAGGGGTCCTCACTTCCCATCCCAGTGTCACAGCACCCACCCTCTGCCGAGCCGGGAAGGAATCACCTAATCCTACTGCTCTGTGTGTATCAGGTCGGACACGTGCTCAGTGGATAAACACCAGCCCAGTTTATCTCTCAAGGCCTGGCAGCGAGCCTGGCACTGGGCAGAGCTGCAGGTTTCCGATTTGGAAAGCTGTGGGATTCCGTGGTGGACTCCCACGGCAGCGCTGGCTTGATTTGGGTCACTGTGCCACGGCATCAGCTCTGCACCCAGAGCTAAATCACCCCGACTCATCTCTGTGCCTTCACTGCCAAACCTTTATTGCAGCACCCCGTGCAGGCTGGCAGTGAAAGAAGAGCAGCCCTGACCCAGAACGGGCTGGGACCAGCAGAGAGCCAGGATATCCCATCCTCTGTCTGCAACAAGGTCACAGCCATTGGATTAAAACTGTTTCTGCAGCCCAGGGGTCAGGAGCTCTTTCTTTGCTCTGGTCCTACCACAAAAACAAAGAAAGGCTGGAGCCACAGCAGAGGTTCTGGTGCTGCCTGATTGCTGACTGATGTAGAGGAAAATGCTTTCCACTGAAATGAAATAATTTGGGAAAAAATAAAAATACAGGATAGCACCTATAAAGGTGGGACAGGGCATGGGACACTGTGCCTCCTGCCCAAGGGCGTCAAGGGATGCTCTGCTGATCCCCAGTAAGACAGCAAAAGCAGCAAAGTGCTGGCAGGGGCTGCAGACCCCCTGGATCTGCTTGGAAGTTGCTCCAGGGCCACGAGCCCCTGAAAAACCCCTGGAGCCTGGGAATCCAGGCAGTGGTGTGGGGAGACACGATTTGCTCCGAGCATGGCTCCTCAGGACCCCGTGCTGGGCTGCAGGAGGGAAAATCCCTGCACCTGCTCCCTCCTGTGCCAGCCTGGGGAGACTGTTTGCTAAGGGAGAGCATTCCCACTCGGCTTTCCCAGGGAATTAAGAGGTCAGCTGAAGATAACTGGGACCCCAAGGCAGAGGCAGGGACCCCTGCAGCTGAAGGCTCAGCTTGTCCTGGGAATTAGGCTTGGGTAGGGGAGGGACGTGGGGGGACATGGTGGCAGCAAGGGGCTGGTGGGGCCAGGCTGTTCCCAAACCTCCACACTGGGAATGCCTGGAGCAGGACCCAGGTCATGCTCAGCCTCCAAGAGCCTTTCAGCTCCTTTGAAGCTGGCGGGGGCAGCGCATTCCCAGTGGAATCAGAGCTGACATCTGCAGCTTCGGGAACACTTTGGCATCCCTCCGACAGCAGTTTCACCTTCCTTCCTCTGGAAGACTCTTCCTTCGGACGGGTCCTCTGGGAAAGGCACTCACGCTCGGGGTTTGTGCAACATCTGCGCAACACCGTAACTGCTGAAAACTCCAAAATACCTCAGTCACACACACAGGAGAGGACAGAACCTGATCGCTGCCACAGGGCTCCACGGAGAGGGAGCCGAGCTTCCTGGTCCCAGCACGCCCACAGCCGCAGAGCCCACGGGAGACACGGTCCCGCAGCACCGACAAACCCGGCTAAAACGCTTAAGAACTGCCCATAAAAATCTTGCAGGACAGCCAGGCTGCTCCTGGAATTCATGCCCGGGCAGGGCAGCCCAGCTGTAAAAAAAAAATAAGAGGGAATATTCCACCTTTAAAGGGGTCAATTCCCTCGCTGTTTATTTTTTTAAGAAAGCCTTTGATTTTGAGCAAACTGCCAGAGCACGCTCTGGGTCTGGAGGTGGGAGGGAAGCGGAAGGGGAAGTGCAAACCCCGCTCAAAGTCTCTGCACAGCACCAGCACTGCCCACAAATTAAAGTCTTTTTCCCCTCTACAGTCTTATACCAGGAAGAAAGAAAAAAAAAAAAAAAAAGGAATAAAGAAAAAAGCTAGGAGAATTTTTGCAATCCAGGTTGGGGTGGAGAGAAAACTCAGGGCATGAGGAAGCTCAGGGAGGTGTGCTGTAAGACAGCTGTCCCACCGGGAATAAGACTGATGTCAGCTGGTGTCTTGGGGCAAAATCCAAATGCCCCAACAAAAGTGGGAGCTGATGGGGAGCAGTATTTACCAGCCAGCCACAGACCACGGTTGACAAGCTGACTTTTGCATATTTTAAGGAAAGCAACCTTCTTTACACAGGTCCTGAAAAGCCCAGACCGGTGTTTAAAGCCACTCACATCCCGCTGACAGAACAACTCACCCTGGCAGATGGAGAGGCTGGTTTTATTGTACCCCCAGGTCATGGAGATTCATGGCCCCATCAGGGTGAGTATCTGCCTCTCTCCCAAACGCACCGATCCTCCCCAGGCACCGACTGCCAGCACAGGTCCAGCCTCGCCACAAAGCAAACCAAACCACAGACAGCGTCGCGGTCAGCATTTCCTCCGCACTCAGGAAGACGCTTTGGGTCAGGGCCGGGCCACGCCGTGTCCGAGCATCGTCCCCGGCAGGCGCCTCGCGGGGCAGCGCTGGGACCAGAGATAATCACATTTCCCCGGCAATGGCGAGTGGAAGCACGGCCGTGGCAGAGAAACGCTCATCGTGCCCCTGCGTTCTGACGCTCCGCACCCATCCCATCCCACCAGGAGGAAGGCGGTTCTTCCCCGGAATCAGCACTTGGTTAATTATTGACAGGATATTAGGCAACGCGTTAGGCTGGAGTAAGCCAAGCGCCCCTCGATCAGGGCGAGGGACGTGGATCAGAGTGCTGGGACAGCTCTCTGTGGGGATGAGGACAGAGGACCGCCTGCCTTGAGGGGTTGCAGCCCCGCATCCCAGTTATCAGAGCCGGCTGAGCACTGGGGAGTTTTTCCTCAACTCCAAGCATTCGGAGCAGCAGTGCGAGACCGTCCCAGCATCCCCAGCAGCCCACGAGTGACCGGAGCAGCCGGGCTGGCCGGGAGGGTTTGGCAACGGTGGAAAAGAAGCTGCCTGGCGGATGCTGCCCGGTGCCACCCCATTGCCCACAGTCCTCCTCCTGGCTGCACCGAAACTGCACCCCGCCGGTATCTCCCTCCAGCGCAAAAACAGCCTCCAAAGTTCTCGGGGCACCCCCTTTCCCAGCCTCTTTCAACCAGACGGTTCACTCCGCATCCCACCCAAGAGCCAGCACCGTCCCGCCTGCTGTGGTGACAGCCGCGACACCGCTGCTCGAGTGGGTGTGCAGGCACGGACCCTTCAGTTCGTGCAGAGCCCCCAGGCACCGGCACCCCGAGATGCTGCATTTGCTTTACCCAACTGCAAGAAGTTCACGCGGAGCTCCCAGATCCTCGGAGCTCAGAGGCGGCAGCGGACGGGCGGCAGCTTTCGGCGTTCGCCCACCGGAGGCGGCACTCTGCACCCCTGGGGTTCTCCCCATCCTCGATTCAGAGCTTTTGCACCCCAAGTCCCGCACCCTGGCCATGACCCTCCTCTCCCGAAGGCGCGCCAGCCCGGGCAGGGACGAGCCGGGGCGGGGGCTGAGCGGGATGCGCACCCCGCACGCCCTGCAGCATCCCGCACGCCCTGCAGCACCCCACGGCTCGCTGCGGGGCTGTCGGGGGCACCCTCGGTCCTGCTGCCCCCCAGGGCGCTCCGCAGACCCCCCATCCCCGGAGCTCCCCCGCGCTCGAAGCCTCCCCCTCCGCTCTCACCGCCGCCGCCGCCGCCGGGGTGGGGGGCTCGGGGGCACTCGGGAACTCGCCGCCGCCGGCAGTTTCGTTTCTGGGGCCTCCCCGCATTCAAACCGGGGCCGGACTTCGCGGAAATTGCATCACGGCAGCCCCGCCCCGCCCCGCCCGCCGGCACCGCGGGGAGCAGCGGCAGGCGCCGGCACCGGGCGGGGGGAACCGGCACCGGCACCGGGGGGAGCCGGAGCCGCCACCGGGGCTGCAGGGAGCCGCCACTGGGACTGCCAGCGGGCCGGGGGAGCCCGCACCGGACAAGAGGGACGGCAGCGGGGCGGGAGGAGTCGGCACCGGGCACCAGGGGGAAGGGGCATCAGGGGGAGCGGGCACCGGCACCGAGGGAAGCAGGAGCCGGTACCGGCACCGGCGGGACAGCACCGCCCGCATCCCGCAGCGAACAGGACGGGCGCTCCTGGGGGTACCAGCCTCCCAGCCCCGTCCCGCTCCAGTCGCCCGTCCCCGCGCATCGGGGTCCGAGTCTCACCTGGGTCATGACCTCCCCTCTCTCCCCCCAGCGTGAAGGGGCCTCCCGGAGCCACTGCTCACCCGCCGAGGGTCGGGGATCCCCGCGCTCAGCCTCGGTCCAGCGCAGGCTGCGGCGGCACCGGCGAGTTATGAGCGAATATCGAGCGGCAGCTCCGGTGCTCAGTCCGGCCCCCCGGCAGCCTTTTAATGGTGCTCGGGGGGAGGGCGGTGGGGGCAGAGCGCTGCCCTCCTTTCTGTTCATCACTTTCGTTTTCCGTTCGCTTCCCCGCCTGGCACGGTGAACACGCTGCAGAGATCAGCCTCGAGCCAAAAACAAAACCAAACCCCGAATCCACCCCCAGCAGCAGCAGAGCCTCGTTTGCATTGGGCTTCGTAGGTCAGAACACGCAGCCGGGGGGCAAGAGCCCTCACCCCCGCCTGTGGGCACATCTCACTGCACAAGCACCATCACCTGATGCTCAGCACCCCGGTGTGGGGCTCCTCAGCACCTGAAGAGTGGGGGATCCTCAGCCCCCCACTATTGCCCCCTGCCACCTCACCAAACCCACCCCACAGCAGCTCAGCACCTCATCCCGGCATGGGGCAGTGTCCTTCCCTTGTGTGTTTTGGCACTGCTGCGAGTTTGCGGGTGCTACTCACACACAGCTGACACACCCTGCAGCCCGAGATCCTCTCAAAACACACACACACATCCCCAAGCAAAAACCCCAGGAAGTCCCTGGAATCCACCTCCAGCCCCAGGAACCCACCACAGCAGCATCATCTCACCAGCCTGGGCATGAGGCTTCAGAAAGCCCCAGCCTGTGAAGCGGGTGTTGCGCTGGGCCCAGCGCTACAGTCGGCCTCCAGCAATCCCACCTAATGGAATTACCTTCATGCCAGAAGCCAGCTGCGAGCCCTGGAAACAACCAGGGAAAACTAACACACCTCCAGCTACAAGTGGCTGTAAAGATAGCAGGCACCAGAGGCAAAGTCTCCCTGCTGACAGCAACGCTGTTCGATCCCTCCGTCGAGCGATGGGCACGTCACGCTTGGTAGTGCCACCTCAACACAAAGACAGCCTCAGCCACAGAAAGAGAAGTTTTTCCTCAAAACAAGTGGGAGGAGGAAACACAGCCCGTGGGTCACACTGGCGGCAGCAGAGCAAGGAGGAAGGAGAGGCAGGGACTGGTTTTCTGGCGTGTTTGTCAACACAGAAGGAGGAAGAGAAACAATGTTTTTGACCTTCAAGCTTTGTGCGGTCTCAGCCACTGGGGGCCTCAGAGGGAACCCCTGCCCTGCTCCCATCCAGCAGCACCCCGGGGAGCCCCGAGGGAAAGGGGTTTTCCCACCACAGAGGGAAGTGGGACAGCCCAGGCCTGTGGGCTCTGAACGGATCCCACTGGAGTAGTGGGCTGCCCTGGGAACTGGGCATTCCTGGGTGGCACACCAATGCACCAATGCTCTGCTCACTGCTGGACCTGCGGTGGGACAGCCACCTGAACAAGGCCAGGCTCTGCTCCATGTGCTGTCAGTGGGGAGCAGTGGGGAGCTCAGCTCCACAGCTGGGACTGATCCCCCTGGAGCCCCCACAGGAAAGGGCTTCCCAGCCTTGTCCTCGCAGCTGACATGAGAACTGTTACAGTTTGGGCAGCACCAGGGCTCCATCCCTGGGTGGGAAGGAGCGATTCCCTCCCCTGTGAGGATGCATTCCTGGAGCCAAGCGAGGCCCAGCCCTGGTATCAGGGTGTTCCACAGAGATACAGCCTGTCCCTGCTTGGTATTGCCTTTGAGCGGAAATCGTCCCCCTCTGCAGCCCTGACTAAATCACAACAAAGGTCTGTGCCACAGCTCAAGCAGCATCAGTGAAAAACAAACTAAATACCTGAAACAACCCCCTCCCAGGTGCCCGAGCCAGGACGGGCAGTGCCCAGCTCACCCAGGCGGAGCAGCCTTGGCACTGAGGCTTCGCTCTGGTTTTACAGGTGGGATATTTTCCCTCCAGCTCCAGGAACAAGCAGTTCTCACTCTATTACACAAAGGTTCCGGCCCTGCTCGGCACATGCAAAGGCTGGAGAAGCCGCGGAGCAGCGCGGGCAGGAGCCGCTCTGCTGTCCCTCCATCGCCGGCCGCAGGAAGCCACCGCCGGAGCAGGGAGGAGGCAAGGCTGCGTCACCACATCCACAGCATGAGGGCGGGGGAGAGCCGAAACCCAGGATTTGCCGATTTTAGACAAACAAACACCGAGCCGAAAGCGCTGAGTTTCGGTTTCCATTCCTGCGGCGGCTCGGCTGACAATCACGGAGCGGTTTCTCCACGAAGTCACCGCTGCTGCCCCGCCAGCCCCAGATACGCTGCCCTTTGTGTGCTGCACGCACAGGGTTTGTCCGAGGACAACCTGGGAAGTGGGAGAGCCTTCCCGCGAAGATGCTGGAGCATCTCCTGTCCTGGTAACAGCCCCCACCAGCCCAGAGAGACCCAGTGACTGAGTGAACATTCGTGATTTCTCACAGCCCCCTCTCCCTGGCCCTCCCCAGGCATCTGCTAGGCAGGACCATGGCACGGCTCTGCTCCCAGCGCTGCCGGTTGGATACCCGGGAAACAGGAGCCTCTACTTTTCCCCAAATATTGCAGGCTGCTTCCGTGGATACCTGGAGGAGAAAATGCAAGCAGCCGAGTCTCCATCACCACACAATCCAGGAAAAAACAGGGACTTGGCATGAGTCATCCGCAGCCCTTATGTAATTTGTCTCTGGATGCGAGTCCTCCACGCCCGGCTGTGAGTGGAGCAGCCCCGGGCTCCCAACGGGAGGAGAGGGGAGCACGGCTGAGGAGCCAAGGACCCCAGGAAGGCAGCTGCTGGCAGCACCAGGCTGGCAGGGTGGGTTCTGAGAGCCCCAGCCCTGTTGCAGGGACCCCAGGCTCCCACCGCAGGTGGACACACTGGAATCCACTGCAATGATCCAGTTGTGGAGTGCACAACACTCACTGCAGCCCTGGGAGCCCACCCTGGTGAGTGCAGCCCCCATGCAGAGGGTAGGGCTTGAGGGTTCCCCCCTGCAGAGCCCCAGATCTCAGAGCTGTGGGATGAGCTGATCCACAGGTGGGACGTGCCCCCCACGGCCGATGCTTTACCATCCCCGCTGAAACCAGGGCTGCAGGACCAGGAGCTACTGCCACGCTCACACGGGACTGTCCCCGCGGCCAGGGCATGTTGCTCAAGTCCCGACGGCCGCATCCAGCACAAGGCCACTCATCCTGACACTAATTTATAACCTCTGCTCACAGCTCGCTGCAGACAACTTCCTTCTTTGCTTTTCCTTTTCAGCCCTCATCCTCCCACGAGTTGCTGACTCCGCAAGCCCCCAGCTGCCCTCGGCAGTGCGGGGAAACACCGCGGCACAGCCAAGAGCAGCACAGCCACCCTCGGGAGTGGAACACGTCACCGGAGCATCCCTCAACATTCCCAGGAGGTCTCTCGAGAAGAACAGGGCTGCCCCACCAGCACCTTCCTGACTGGCTGCCCGGGGAGCTGCTCAAAGGGAGGGGAGGATTGCACCAGCCCAAATCTGCCTGCAGAGCTTTTATTGCTTGGGGAGCTGTTTACATCCCAAGGAAGCGCCGCTTAAGCAGGGTAAAGTACGCCCACACTGGGAATGCCTTGCCGGTGAGGTGATCTATAGTCTCTAGGGCAGGTAAAGGTGCACGTAGCCAGGGAAGAGCTGCTGCCTCCTGCCTGCTCTGCCCCAGCACTTGCTGCCTGCTGCCACATCCCCAGCACTGTCACACCAACACAGAGCTGCCCCCAATCCTGTCCCACCCCACGCTCCGATGCCACCTCTCAGATACCCTTACAGAGGAGTCAGGAGGTCCCTCCAGCTGTCCCCTTTCCACCTGGATGTCCCCTCTCCCGCAGTCCCTGGATAACCTGGATGAGTTTGTCCAAAGCAGAGATGGCTGGAGCAGGATGCTCAGCCCACAGCTCTTCAGGGCTGCACAAAGGCACCACGGCTTTCCAGTCCCAGCACTGCTGGAGAAAGTTGTCCCTGTGGTGCAGACAAACCTTCACTCACCATCACAGCATGGGAGCAGGAGGATTTGGGCTGGAAACACACTCCAGGTGTGGCTCAGCACCACTGCTCACGCTGGACAGGCAAAAGACAGCTCAGGGTGATCACAACCCTTTATATTTCCTTGGTCTGACACACTACTGCTGTCCCAAGTACGCAGATAAGACTTCAATATCTTAACAGCAGGCAGCTGGGAGGCAAAAACCTCTGATAAGGCAGGACTCCTCCTCAATTGCAGTCTCAGCTCAGCCTCAGCTGAAACGAAACAAAATCTAATGCCTCACAGGAATGGATCGCTTTTCCTCATGATTACGTGTCAGAACTCTTCTAAACACAGCTTGGGGACTGGTGGTTATCAGCACTGGGTGCAGCCAGCCGGTCCCAGCCGTGCCATGGACAATCAGACTTTGGAGCCACGTTTCAGGCTCCCTGCACGCCCACAGCCAGAGAGAGAGCACAGAGGACACGTCCATTTATATCCAATAAAGAGTGTTCCTGTCCTGCCTTAGCCCCTGCTTTG